ACTTTCGCTCTTTCGAGAGCTAGAAGAACATAATAATTTGGCCATTGATCGAGTTGAGCTATTGAAAGAGCTGCTAAAAGAAGTCGAAGAATGGTCGTTGTTTCAGAAAGTAAGAAAGTTCGAGAACAAAAGGAAAGAATATAAAGAATTGCTTGAACAGATCAGCCGCGCTCTCGACGAAAGCAATCAACTGCAGCAGCTCATCGCTGTCTGCACTGAGAGGGAAACGTTGGAGGAAAATGAAAGAAAAACTCAAACTGCTCGAATTTTGCTCGAAAAACTTGAACGCCGAAGACTTTTTGAGTTTAGTCGTCTTGATTTCTTGAAAGGGATTTTATCGGGAATTGAGAGACAAGATCTGGTGAAGAAAGTTCAGGATTTCGAGAAGCGACGAATTGACGAGGATGAATTTGAAAGAAGGAAAGGTAACGAATATTCAGTCCTCTGCAATTCTTATTTTGTCGCATTTTTTGCGGGAAAGTATCTAAGGGTCTTTGCTCAAATAGCGCCATCGAGTAACCGTTATATGCTATATATTTATCAGAACTCAAAATTTAAATCCAATTCTGTCAATTTATTGCAATTCTCCTGCCTAATTTGTCATTGAATCTTACAATTTAAGCGCAAGCTGGTAGCATTGTTGCGGCAGCCAGGGTTGTTGGTGGAAGAGTAATCGGAGGTGAGTTAAAATTGGTGTGATTTAAGTGTTGAGCATGAGTAGGGAAGAGTTTCTAGTACTATTTTTTTTTTATATTTCTAGTTCTAGTACTAGCGTACTCGTTAATATGTTCGTGTCAGTGCGCTATAAGGTCGAAGTCGTTTCCAATTTCTTCGATGAATCAGAGTAGTGCCCCCAAAATTCGCCAGCGGGGAAATTGTCAAGACGGACTAAGTAATAATTAAAGGGCTTTTCAGAGTGTCCATCAATAAACACTAGGTGTTCAATGCCCACCTAAAAGTTAGGTATGATGCAGGGGATGTGCGCACTCTGATTACGTTGCATCATGGTCGTTATATACATAAAGTGAGTCATTTGCATCCAGCCGCGGTCGAGTGAACATCTTTGGTGGCAGCCGCGTGAATAAACGTGGAATGTAATGGGGATTCACTGTCTGTTGCCGTTCCTTCGAAAGTTTAATAGTGTTTACGGTCCTACGCGACTCCTGTCATTCCTCTTTAACGAATTCGTTTCTCGGAGGCAACTGACGAGATTCAGGAAGAATCGAAACTGCAGAAACTACACAAATGGCAGCAGTTTCATTCACAGCCGATGGCTGTGGGAACAATAACAAATTCAGAAAATACATTCTTAGACGCGAGTTATATATTAAACGCATAACAAAGACCTTTTACTACACGATTTTTTTTCGTGTCATTCACTTGGCGTAAATACGAGATTCGTAAAAGAAGCCCTTCGCCTGCTAAGAACGAATTCGTCACGCTCTACGTTTAATAGAAAACGTACAGAGTTTCATGATACACATAAAGAATAGAGGATACGTATGTGAAGGTTTGAGA